GCGATTGCGTGAAATCCTTAAAAGAATGATTTGTATTGTGCAGTATTTAGCTGGCCAAAATTTAGCTTTTAGGGGTGACAGTATGAATCTTTATGAGACTAATAATGGCAATTTTTTGAAATTAGTTGAAATGATTGCTAAATTCGATCCAATTATGATGGAACACCTGAGCAATATTCGAAGGTCTAAAGGGTTGTGCCAAAATATGCCTCATTACCTGAGCAATTACTTCCAAAATGAATTAATTCATTTATTATCAAAGAAATATTTAGAAATCAATTCTGAGTTGCTTTAGAACAGCAAGATATTACTCATTTATTTTGAATGAATCTCCAGATACTAGCCATGTTGAGCAGCTGACGGTCATAATTCGCTTCGTTTATTGTTCTGGTCTAGGTCAGGGTTACGACAATGAGGCAAATATGTTTGGCAAGCATGTGGGCCTTCAGGTTCAAATTCTAAAAATTAATCCCAGAACAATGTTTTTGCCTTGTTCAGCTCACACTTTTAATTTAAGTGTCAATGATGCAGCTAAAATTTCATATCAGACTGTAGGTTTTTTTTTTAATTATTCAGGTTGTTCAATTTTTTTTCTACTTCACCCTACAGATGGCACATTTTAAAAAGGAATGTACCAAAGGTAACTTTAAAATCAGTAAGTGAAACACGATGGGAAAACAGAGTCAAAGCCATTCGTCCTCTTAGGTTTCAATTCCTCGAAATTTGTAAAAGTTTACACGATTTGGTGGAAGATAATTCAAGAGATATGAACACGAAAAATTCAGCAAGGTCACTATTAGACAAAACTAAAACGTTCAAATTCATTTTTTCTATTATAATTTGGCATGATGAATTAACAAAAATTAATATTGTAAGTAAAATGGTCCAGAATCCAAATACAACTTTAAATGAATGCCATACAGAAATAAAAAATCTTATTATTTATTTCACTGAAAAGAGGTCAGACAAACATTTCGAGATTTTCATGAATGAGGCTGTAGCAGAAGCAGAAAAAAGTGATGCAGAACAAACATTTCCATTATTAAGGCAAAGAAAGACGAAGCTTTAATTTTCGTATGAAGGTACAGATAAAACAGTAGTCGATCCAAAACAAAAATTTAAGATCAGTTTTCATTTTCAAATTTTGGACACAACAATTCAATCCCTACAAAGACGCTTTGGGGGAATAGATAAGTGCCACGATTTATTTGGATTTTTGGGTAATTTTCAAAATCTAGATTCTGATGTGATTAAAAGATCATGTATAAATTTGGATTTAGCTTTACAAATTCAACATGAAGGAAACGTATGCAAAGATATTGATGGTCTTGATTTGCATAATGAAATTCTGTCATACAAAGTTCTTAACCCAATCACAGACTCTGGCAAAATTTCGGATTCGCCCATAGATATTTTAAATTATATAACAAAGAAACATTTACAATCCTTGTTTCCAAATCTATTTATAGCCTTGAGAATATTCCTGACCCTTCCAATTTCGGTGGCATCTAGCGAAAGGAATTTTTCAAAGCTAAAGCTCATAAAAAATTATTTAAGAATGTCAATGTGCCAAGAAAGACTATCAGATTTGGCAGTCATTTCAATTGAAAATAAAATTTGTGAAGCCATTGATCACAATGAAATGATTAATGAGCTTGCATCTGTGAAACCACGACGTGGCATATTATGTATTATTTAATAGTTTTTTTTTACATTGAGAGTATCTCCTTTCCGTTATTGTTTCATTTTATATTCCAGAATGCCTTACTAATTTGCGAATTGAGTGTTTTCTTTCTTACTATTAACTTACATAATAATATTGTTTTAAAATGACCTTTTTTCTTTATTTAATTTTGAAAATAAAACCTTTTTTCAAACATGGTTCGTTTTATTTTTCTTTTTACATTCATATCATATTTTCAATCATATCACAAGAACATGTTAGGATATAGGTATCTTAAAAACATAATATGGGGGCGCACAAAAAATTCTGCACGCAGGCGCTCACTACCCTAGGAACGGGCCTGTGCTAACTCGGTACTAGTTTTTGATAATGCATCTCAGCTGACGTACAAAAACTCGCTGAGAAAGAGTTAAATAGAATTGATTCAAATGAGTGAAGAAAACGATGTGACCATGTCATTAAGAAGGAAGATGAATACATAGACAGTGGAATAGTGGTTAATAACGCCATGAAAATAGCTTCAATTATTATAAATGTTAATAACGACTCTTCCAGTACATAGTTTTCTTCCGATGATGAAGTAAATTTACCATCAGAAAATTATTTTCAATTACCACTTTTCTACACTTCATACTCGTTCCAGTGTTACAATAATAAAACTAAAATATTAAAATTAAATAATTACTGTAATGCATTTAGTTATACCATAGGACAATAAAACAATTGGTAATTATTCTGTGGTTATACAATATGCTCCATTTAATTTGAAAGATAATCTCAATGTAGTTTTATTTGTTTATTAAATTCTGTCATAATTATTATTGTGTTTGTATGCTAAATTAAACAGAATATTATAATCCAGTGGCTTTCTATTTAAACCTATTTTCTATTTAAAAAAATAATAACAATTTCATTATTTGAACACCAACAATTATTTGTTGAATAACAAATAATTATTTGAACTATACCGTTACGCCACCGGAAATATTTACCATAAATAGTAAATCAATAGAAAAATTATAGGGCGTTACCATAATCTATTCCTCTGTGACTCTGTGCGCATTCCGTCGCCAACTTAACTGGCGTTTGCTGTAAATATATTATTTATTATAATTTTTGTGCATTTAGATTAGTATTCGTCGGGAATAGGATTTATAAAAATATGATAAAAAGAAGTTTAAAAAGTAATCTTTACATTATTTGTACAATATGTCAAAGTAATTAATTTTGTATCAATTTTATTCTATTGTCACATAGCAGGAATGTCGAACGCGGTTAAAATTTGGATAGGTGACCGCTACGGAATCACGTAGCTGTTGAACACCTCATGTTGTTGCCTTACCTTTTTTCTTGGTATTATTTTAAGGACTTTTTTTGGAAAATATTAAGTATTAAAATAAGTTAAATGTTAAAAAAATATATAAATAAACTGTTTAAAATATATTTATTTCGTTGAAATCATATAATAGAAGTATAACTTCTTACGTTCGCACTCCAAGTACACATTTTTTTTATTATTGGAGTATTTATGTTTTTCACTATTGAAGAGATTGATAAACTCAACATTAAACAGCTTGAACCTCATACCAACTATTACTATTATAAACATAAAATAAATTTAAAAAAAAAAATTAACAAAAAAGTTAATTTTGTTAAGAATATTATCGATGATTTTCCAATATCCACTACTTCTTTATCCCTTAATTGACAGGTCAAACTCCGCAGAGTAACATGCTTCTCCAAAAAAAAAAAATTCATTATCATCTTTAATAGCCAAAAATAAGTAGATAGACAGAGCTGGGTCGACAGAGTTAGAAATGAGGAGGTCCTTAGACGGCTGAGCCAAACAACACAACTGGTCAATATAATAAAGAAACGCAAGCTGGAATACTTCGGTCACATTATGAGACACCCTGAAAAATATGATCTTTTACATCTGATCATTCAGGGAAAGATCCAAGGTAATCGTGGTCCTGGTAGACGAAGAACATCATGGCTGAAAAATCTAAGGCAATGGTATGGAAAATCAACTACATCGTTATTTAGAGCTGCTGTCAATAAAGTCACGATAGCGAATATGGTAGCCAACATGATATCCAACGATCGATAACGGTCATGGAACTAGAAGAAGAAGAAGTAGATAGAAAATTTCATGGAAATTTAAGTAGGTACCTACCCAGGTTCTAGTTTATCATAAAATTCGCACTGAAAAAATCAATACTTACTCTGTTGGTACATATCATACAACGTATTCCGCACTGTCATTTTTGATGCTTCGGGCATATCAGTCGTCTTACTTTTAAGACGACGTCTATTTTTACCTGGTTTTGAAAGGATTGGGATTCTTTCCTTTTTTATCGAGTATATTATCCGCCATGACATTTCTAAAGCAGCGGCAACTCTCTTAAAAATAATTATTTAATAGCAACTGATTAACAAACATACATTTGATATTTTACCTCCCGAACAGATGTAAGAGGATCCAAAGGACCTCCATTACTTCTATATAACTCAAAATATTCATATAAATGCAACACAAGTTGCTTGGGAATTTAGCTTTTTGCCAGGCATATCTTAAAAATAATAATAATAAGTAATCTCGAAAATATACAAATAATTTTCCGTTTGACGGAACTATAGCCAGACTGATGTAGTATAATGACAATTTGTAGATTAGAAATTATCACTTTTCTCATTAGCTAAAAAATAAATACTTATAGGAAGTAATCAAATTAAGAAAGCAACGTTAGTCGTTCTAACAATAATTATGCTATGCCACTGTCAGTGAAAATTATAAACGTCAAAATTTACAGTAAATAAGGTATCAAAGACATGCCATATTGTTGATCCTTGTTTAACTTATTGTGATTTCTATGGACAAGCGGCTTAATTTTGTAATACTAGTTTCTGTGAGTAAAAAAGAGACCTAGTATAAAAAGTGACTCGTGAATAATTTCATGCATGGGAAAAGATAGAGTGGACGTACTATACCATCGTATTAAGAATAAAATTAGCTTTAATTTAATATATAAAAAAACATGCATATACGTCAAGTAGCGTATTTTATTTAAAAAATAAATGAATGAAATAAAATATTTGTTAAAAACTAATTACTATTAATTAAATTAAAAATATTTGCGGCCACTTTTTGACTAGCAACCTATTATCAATGATTGGTAACCTAATTTTAAACTTATGTAAAAGTGTTAGTTTGGTGAAGTACGTTATGAACGTAGTAATTCTGCAGTGGGATCTCATACTTTTATTATTAAAAGCAAATTAACTTATATATAATTTACGATGTATACTTTTTCAGGAACATATTTTAGTAGTGGTAGCAGTAAACGGAAGCTTGACTACTATTTAGCATTTTTACAAGCATATTACTGGTTTAAAAAGAAAATGTGGCAAGAAGGATTCCCTCCAATACTTGAACATATCTTTAAAGATACCCTAACTACTTTGAGGCCCAAACTGAAACTTTGTCAAAGTTACGATGAGGCGATCGAAGAATTAAACAATATCAAAGTGGCGTTAGGTATAGAAAAATTACTGGAAATCGATCATGGAACCGTAGAAGAAGATGGATTAGACACAATAACGGAAACTGATAACGAAGAAGTAGCAGAGGATGAGACATCTGAAGGAGTAACGGGTCCTGTGACTGATGACACTGCCACGGAAGATGAAACAGTTGATAACACTCAAGGATCGGATGATGAAGGTATTTTTTTATTTTAACAATTATCTGTCTTCTGTCGTCCACTGGCACTAGTTTGCATTTTAAAGTCAATGTGATTTATTATCTTCGATTTTATCTTTGTTTCGTTGTTTTTTGCTTTTAGTTTTCATTTGCACTTGATTAAACTTTGCGTCGCGTCTGTTAATTTGTCCTAATCATGGAAGTCACCATCATCATTCTAGCTTTACAACCCTGCGTGGGTCCTAGCCTCCTCAAGAATTTCTCTCCCGTCGTCCCTATCCATCGCCTTCCTCCGCCAAGCACGTATTCCCATATTTCTTATGTCTTCATCGATGTTATCAAAGAACCTTGTTCTAAGTCTTCCTCTTCTCTAACCAATGGGTCTATCAAGGAGCGTTTTTATAGCTGGGTCATTTTGTTCCATCCGCATTACATGACCTATCCACCTCAGATGTCCTATCTTAATATGTTTTACGATATCAGGTTACTGGTTTAATCTATAAAGTTCGAAGTTGTATCGTCTTCTCCACACTCCATTGACATTCACTGCTCTATAAATTCGCCTTAGTACTTTTTTTTCGAAACATCCTTACATGTATTCAATATTTTTTGTTAGAGTCCAGTTCTCTGAACCATATGTTGTACCAAATGTTGTACCATGTATGAACCAAACAACTGGGCGTATTATTGTTTTGTAGAGTTTTATTTTTGTATTTCTCGATATAATTGTGGATTTAAGGAGATTGAGCTAAAAACACCATCATGTATGCTTCGATGACGTCATTTTCTCTAACAAGTGGTCGTAGTATTTGTGGTTGCCTGCTTATTTTCATATACTTCGTTTTGATGGTGTTTAATATTAAACTCTTTTTATAGCTGATTATTTTAATGCTGCATACGCCTCTCGTACAACGTTTTCCGTTCTTCTAACAATATTGATATCATCAGCATAGCTCAGGATTTGCACTGATTTATTATCTATTGAACCAGTGGTTGTGATTTGTGACATACGTATTACTTTTTCCAGAGCCAGGTTAAACAGTATACAGGAGATAGGGTCTCCCTGGCGCAGCCCTTTAAAGGTTCAAACAGTTCCACCTGAATTCGTACTCTACATTCAACTTTTTCAAGAGTTAGTTTTGATAAATTTACCAACTGATTTGGTATTCCTAGCTCTTTCATTGCTTTGAACACTTCTCTTCTATTCACAGAGTCGTAGGCTGCTTTGTAGTCTATAAATATGTGATGAGTATCAATGCCATATTCCAGTGTTTTTTTCAAAATTTGTTTCAGGGTTGCAATGTGATGAATTGTCGATTTACCAATTCTGAAACTAGCCTGGTATTTTTCTACTATCCGTTCTACATATGGTGCCATACGATGACATTGTACTGTGGAAAATTGTATACGCTGCATTTAGAAGCGTAAATCCTCTGTGGTTAGAACATTCAAAGATATCTCCTTTTTTGTGTATGGTGCAAAGTACTCCAATATTCCAATCATTGGGGAGAGATTTCTGTATCCATATTTCTTTTATAAACTATTGTAATGCCATTATGGTATCATGGCTACCTTCTTTATATAGTTCAGCTGGCAGATTATCTATTCCGGGTGATTTGTTTCTGGCTAGTTTTTTAACTGCATCTTTAACTTCAAGAATCGTTGGTGGTTCCTCTTTCCTCTCGCCTGTTCTCCTTACCTCATATGTTTCTTCTTCCAGGTTTTCTTCTTCTTTCTCTATATTAAGTGCCTGGTTAAAGTATTTTACCCATATATTCAATGCATCTTTCCATGTTGTTAATAGGTCGTCATTCTGACTTCTGCATTGTCTTGTTATTGCCCTGCATTCGTTTCTGTTGATGTTTAGATTATAAGTAGTAGTGTTTATATTCTAGAGATGACTTTGAGTTTCTAGTGCTTCACGAATTTCTCTATGTATTTTTAGACAAAAAATGGGCTTTATCAAACTATACGGAATGCCATTTTCTTGGTAGTGTTGTTTTACTTCAAAATGTTGTTTATACATATCTTGTTTGTTTATAACAATAAGAAACCTATATTATAATTCCACTATTTAGAAGAGTGATTCATCGTTTAAACGCTGAATATCTTCAAATTTAAATGTACACAGCGGTACTCGATAACTACCCTTTTTCTCAATTGCAATTTGCGTTTTCTCATAAGAAATTACAGAATATATAAGTAGTATACTCCATTCCACGAATATACGACTGTTTTAAATTCACTTTAAGGTGTCGACTTAAATGGTCCAATGTGCTGCATTGTACAATAGTAAATTCTCCCCATTTTTAAAATACTGTTACGACAGATATAAACCTTAGATTTAAATATGAAGTCATGATATAAATATAGAGTTGATAGTTTATATAATAGTTGTAATTCAGAATTTAAATTATTAATTACTATCATTAAGTTTAGTATTTTAAACAAGTTGGTGTTTTAATTAAGTGATTTAAACGAAGTGATTAAATACTTAAGTGATTAAATAGTGTACTTTATTTAGTCGAATATTCAATTAGTATTAAAAAAACAAAAAAACTTACTTGTCCTCTTATTCACCTAATCTCCTAAAACTATTATCAACCATCAGATTCACAGCCATAATCACTGTCGTCGCTATCCTCATTTGGATGGTAAATTATAATAGGATTAACTGCTTCGATGCGACCTTCACGGATCCACCATTCTTTAATTAAGTCTTCACATTTTTTTTACACTTTTTCCCCAAATTTCAGGAGTGGCAATATCCAATGCTTGTTGCCATGTTTCCAAGACTGCCTCGTCACTGTAACCCTTGTATCCAATATGGTTATCATAATATGTTTTGCAAATCCCCCAAATATATTCAATTGGATTGAATTGGCAATGATAGGGCGGTAGTCTTAACACACGATGTCCAAAGCTATGTATAATTTCGTCTACTATATATATGTTTGGTTGTGCATGACTTTTAGCTAACGTTAGTAATTGAGGCTTAAAACAATATTGAGGAAATGTAATATTTTTATTCGTTAACCATTCTTTTATTTTATCTACAGTCCAGGTGTTTGTTGGTTGCTTATTTAAAATTTCCGAATGATACGCAGCATTATCCAGTACTATAACGGATGGTTCATGTAAACTTGGCAACAGTTTTTCTTTCAACCATTTAACAAACATCTCCGTATTCATATTGTCATGATAATCGGCTGATTTTGATTTTGATGAAAACACAAGATCTGCTCCCTCAATAAAACCATATTTTCCACCTGCATGTACTATAATATATCTCTTTCCCTCGTTATCGATGTGTTTTATGGATTTTATACTCTCGTCCTGCCACATTCGTTTGATACCGCCTTTAGCAAAAATCCATGTTTCGTCTAAATAAAAGAAGGAAGAACATTCTTCTTTAAATTTGTTGTAATTTCTTAAAAATTCTATTCTTTTGTGAACGACACTAGCTCTTTCACACAAAGCCTTTCTATTGTCTTCATTTTTGAACTTAAAGCCAATCTGTCTTAAAACTCTCCAGAGACTTGTTCTGGAAATTTCAAATATATTTCTGTCTTTTAATTTTTGTAGCACTGAATCTAAAGAAACATGTTCTTTCTTTTCGCGCATTTTATATATTGTCTCACGGATTTCAAATTTGCAACCTTCGGGAAGATCTATAGTCTTTGGTTGTCGGCGAGATTTATATTGTGCGACATTTTGTTCACTTTGTCCACTTTTTTTTTCTTTTTGCAAAACCGACTTTAGTTTTGTTTCACTAATACAGAGTGCATCACACACACGTTTATGTACGGACTCAACAGGTCGCAAAGGGCCCCCGTTGGTTTTCTCAGCAGTAAAATAAGAAAGTACAATAATTATAAACTTGTCTACATCTAAAACACGTCTCGGCATTTTTAGCTTCAATAAACAAATACACTATACTAAACTCTATCTTAACGGACACCTCTCTTCACCGGAAACCCCTATACGGACGGTTTTTAAAACTAAAATCAGTCGGCGATATATGAAACTGTATGTAAATTTTCGTTACTTTTTAATATCTGTAACGACTCGGTACTTTAACTATCAATAGCCGGTATATTATACCCGTTATAAAAAAACTTTCGGAACTTAAGAGTACATCCACTCCAACCAAACAAATATTTAAAACTAACAAAGTGAATTACTATATAGATTCTATTTCTGGTTTCTGAACCATCCTTCTGCCAATTTCTTTTCATTTATAATAAAAATGGTATATTTATTTTTATTACAGTTCTCTTACCTAATAAAGTAATAAAATATAATATCAAAGAAACCCGGCGCGCCTGTTTGCATTTATTTACAAATGTTTACATTTCAAATGTACTTTGTTTACATTTCACCGAAATCCAAGCCAAATGTCTGATGAACACATTTTCGTAAAAATGACCGTTTGCGAAAAAATGTTTGGTATTTTCGGATTAAATTTCACAATAAATTTTGCGTCTATTTGTACATCTATTAACTGAAATGACTTTAGTTCAGATGTAGGTAATACTAACAGTAGATGCTTTTTATTGGAATAATAATTAGACCAATTTACTTTCATACTTCTACTTGCACAGTAAAATATTCGTTGTCGCAATAATCCCAAACAGTCGTATATTCGTGGAATAACCTATATATTAATTTGTGCTTCTCTATAGAAGACTTGACCAGGAGTTGTCGTACAGTGTAGCTACTTCTTGTTCACAAGTAGTAATTATGGTCATACAAAACCTGTATTCTTTCACGCAGCGATTATTACTGTCATAAAAATACCAAAAAACTTACCATAAAATAATTATTTTAATAGTAAAAATTAAGCACAAAATTGTTATGAAATAAATTGTATTTATATGTTCCGTTTCATTACATATTTAAATTTATAAAATAAAAATTATTATTTTAAAACATTATTTTTCAATCGTTTGGCTACTTTGGAATTAGCTCCGTTCCAATTCCGACCCACAGATTGCCGTAAAACTCGTTTTTGCTTTTGGATTGCCAATGGACTAGCATACATCTTTCCCCACTTCCCAGCCTTTAAACGATGAATCACTCTTCCAAATAGTGGAATTATAGTTTAATTAGTGGCATTTGAAAAATTAAGGAATGATATTGTATTGTACAGAGTCATCTACAACGCTTTAAAATGTGGAGCTCCACTTCGGTGAACTTGGAGTTGTGGAAGAGGAACTTTAAAATTCCTTCTCTCAAACAATGAAATATTTTTAAGTTTATTTATTTTAATTACATTTTAATTTATTTTATATATTTAAATTTCCCTTACTATAATTTCCCGCGTTCAGCATATGAAAGGGTTTGTCGTCACTTCCTTTTCTTGTAGTTTCATGTCGGTGGCTTCTAAAAGCAAGACATATTTTAAATGTAACATAAAAATTGACGTTAAACATCCCATAAAGATTGTACATTAATCAGTAACTTACTAAATTGTACATTACTAACATGCATGCATTACTAACTAAATTGTGCATTGTAGATTAATCAGTAACTAAAACAGAACTCATTGATATCATTTTCTGGTTCGTAGAGGTCCTACTCTCTTGCTACACTAGTACCAATGATTTTAGTGAACATGTCGTCCAAAAATGTAGGAAAATATTATTTGAAATTTTAGGTGAAAATATGACTAGTGAAGCCGAACAAGATCCAGTTTCAGAATCTTTGGCGATACCCAAAGGACCCAAAAAGGTTGACTGTGCTGAAGATGACGAATTTCTAAATGCTCTTGATAAAATGGTTTCGGAAAATATCCAGGAGCGCATGAAGGAGCCTGTTAAATCCGGAAATATTGACATTTCTGTTCCAGTTGTTCTTAAGTCTAACGTTAAACGAACTTACGAACAGTTACAGGTAAATATTATATATTTTTATTCGGTTTTAACTTTGCTGCCACCCATGCCTAGTCTATCAGACCCGAGCTGTCTTTATTTCTTTTTAATTTGGTGTCGGGGTGAAATATGAGATTTTCATGCCCTTCACTCAGTAGTTGTTCTGTAACCTTGAGTACTTTCGTGGCAAGTAGTTATATTTTTCTTTGTTTATCTATTGCAAGAAACTAATACACTTCTCGCGAGTAGTTATGTAACTAAATTAAATGTTAATAATTGAGAGAAATATTTCAGATGAGTTATGAAAAGGAACAGAAAGGTCTTTTTACGTTTTTTGAATAAGCTCAAGCAGATAACCATCGAATTAATGAAGAATCGGATTTTGATGGAGATAACGTTGAGCAGAGTTTTGAAAATACCTATACTGAGCAAGATGGAGAAACATGAAAAGAAATTTGTTGGAAAAGATGGCAAAACTATTTGGAAGAAACATGCCACCAAAAGAAAAGTCAGATCAAGTCGTCGGAATATTATTATTAACTAGACTTCCTGTTGTCATACCATGTACTAAGAATGAAAGGACAATACTAGAATGTTGGATCTTATTTTTTACATATAATATATTAGAAATAATTGAGGCATTGACAATAAAAAGAAGGTAAGGGCCAAAAACAAAATTTTACAGGAAAGGCAAAAAACTATTCTACCAACCAGGACGATTTTATCGCCAGCGCCGTCCCTTTGCGTATTTTATAACTAACAGAGATGAGAAAGATATTTACTTGCCACCAAATCAATGACATTGGCCTTGGTTTAAACTACATTTCCAAGGCAAAAACGAAGTTTTGAAAATTTTGGCACTTACCTTTTTTCCGATCCAATTTTAATGTTTCAGTCAAGAGCTGAACAATTTCTAGAGATGCAAAGTGCACCGACATCATTGAAATCGAGGCATGATTTTAGCTGGCACATTACGAAATAGTGGTCTGAATGTTGAAGAACTTTGAAATCGCAATGGTACCGTTCCCGTCATAAAAAACTGGTACAATTCTTATAATCAAAAATCGTGTTTTTTAAGTTGTGTAAGTTGATCTTGTCAGACGTGTCATTCTAATTTCTAGGGCACCATTGCCAGTTCAACGAAAATATTATATAAAACCAGCTAAAAGCAGGAATGTGTGACAGACCGCCAGTTGTGACAATACTAAAAACTAAAACGTTATCGAGCATTCTCGATCAGTCAGTCACATTAAATTTGTTTAAACATGCATCCTAAAAAATTCTCATATTAATTTTGTAATTTTCCATCATCTCAATTAATTACCATTGATTTGTAATTATTATGTAATTATCATTGATTTGTATTTTATAACAATTTATGAAAATATTTCAATTCAAAAATAATGACAGATAATCAACCTAGAAAAACTTCAAATTATTATAATAAAATATTACAGTGAAATATTGGATTGAAACTGTCACGTTTTGAAAAGCGTTTTTGCGCCACGGATATTTTATAGTTTATAATACGTAGGATAAAGTAAAATGTTATTTTTTACATTTATTGTTCCTGTAATAAATAATAATTTAATCTTGGTAGTTTGTTACTAAACTTATTGACACAAAATACAGTTCGTGTTCGGTAGGTAATTGAAGTATAAAATTACAGTAGGTGCATTTTAATGTTCCCTGTGCCCTGTGCCAATACTACAGGTTTAAAGATCCTGCAAACATTTTGGACAATAACTCAACCCTGTCTTTGCTTATTTAATTTCTTAGATACGGTTTTTTGATGTTAATGATAAAAATAATACCTATCTAAAAATTTTATACATTTTTTAACGTTATTTTTTTATTTAGATTTAGTGCAATTCCGTTATCTGTATTGGCAACAACGAATTGATTTGTGAACACAGGTTTACATTGGGAAAAAAAAGTGTACCAGTTTTATATGACGGGAAGTGTACGAGTTTTGAAATGCTTTGGTTGATAATATCTAAGGAACGGTTTTTATTTTTACTGAGATATCGATGATAAAGAAACACGAGAACATCGAAGAACTGTTGACAAGCTAGAGCCAATAAGAGATCTGTTTGATGTTTTCATAATATAAAGCAATATAACGTGCTACAGCTGGTCTTCTTCATTTTTACTTATAATTGAATTGCAAAAAGACCATAATTTGACTTTCTTTAGAACAGTTCGGAAAATAATCGAGAGTTACCACTTAGATTTCTCAACGCCAAAAACCGTCCTATAACCCTAACATTTTTGGTTACCAAGAAAATATTACAATTATGTCCTACGTACTACGCGTAGTGTAAAAATGTTATTGCCGAAAGTTTACATACCAATGATAACGGTGATAAAATCTGTATTAATAATTGATAAGATTGTTTTTATAATTCGACAAAGGGTGGTACAGATAAATTTTGTACCATATTTGATGTATCTAAAAATACCAGTCGTTAGCCACTGGTTATTTTTTCACCTTTTAAATGTTGGTGCCATACATCATCAAATAATATAAAATTCTAAATGATCCTGCTTGTGCAGTTACCGATGATCATCAAAGGTGCCGTGATTAACTGTCAAATTTATCTATGAAAATTTGAGACAGAGGACAAGAGGTATCAGGAGTGAATGTTTTGATTGCTCAAACTTCATGCCCAAGCAGAATGAGAAAAAGATGTCACTTTTGCAATAAAGAAAGCAAAACAGGATATAATGTCATTGTGATAAATGTGTATGTTTTACTCACGCTCAAATCTTGTCCCCAGAGTGCATATAAAAAAATAGTAGGAACATGTAATAAGAAATATTTTATACAAAAATTTGTATTATTTATGTCTAAATAATTGGATCGGTTTGTCGTTTTTATGAAAGTGCTTGAAGTCTGAAGTTCCAGAAGTGTCAGCATATTTAATGAATTCTGTATTTATCCCATCTAACATTTCAGTGTTCCCATTTTTCATATTTTTAAGTGTGGTTTTTAGTTAGCCCATTGTTATTTGATGGATTTTGATTTCGATATTGTCATCTAAATTTATTATTACCTCGAACTTCTTGTTTTGACGAGAGTGCTTTGTAGTGGTTTATCAATTGGTAATTCTATAATCACTTCAGTTTAGGCCCATATTTTCTGTCTGATTTAAATGTCTCACTATATATACTAATCTCTGCAGTCCGTGTATGTTCGTAATCAGTAATAAACTTATCCCAGGATTCTTGTTGAACTTGTGCTAGCTACCTAACGTAACTTCTCTTTTGATTAATATGTCTTTAGCTTTTGTGTATTTTTCTCTACCAGCTAAGTATTCCGTTGCTTGTTTATGACTGTTTATAGTTCTTCGTTTCACAATCGTAGTTTTGTCTTTTTGTTGCCTATTGCATAGCATAACTTTCAATACTATGTATGTGCTATTCTTAGCCTTTATATGGTGTATCACATACAAGATTATAAGCAGTGCAAGAAATACTTTATAATATACTGGCTGAAGGTTGAATTTTTTAAGTTGCAATTTTTTAACTGTTTTCTGTCGTTTTCAAAATTTTGCCAATTTCGAAAAGATATATTTGGACAACTTGAGGCTGAATAATACGTATAGATAAAAAAGTGATTTGAGATAGCATCGTTATCCTAGATTGAATTCTATAACCAGGAAGATATTTTATATGGTTGACGAGTAGTTCTTGCAATAAAATGATTGGAAATATTTTAGTGACGTTTTGATTTTTCGGCTTCCGAAAAAATTTTAATATTCGAAACCTTTTATTTCGAAGAGGATTTTAGATGCGAAAGTTAACTTCTTCTTCTTTGGGTGCCGTGTCCGTATTCAGACGTTGGCCGTCATCATGTTTACAATTTCCTGAAACCTCTCTCTGTCGGCTGCTGCGCGAAATAATTCTTCTACTGTGGAACCACACCATTGTCTAATATTACGCAGCCATGAAAGTTTCTTTCGACCAATCCATCTCTTTCCTTCTACTTTTCCTTGTATTATAAGGCGAAGTAAATGGTATTTAGGTCCTCTAATTATATGGCCGAAGTATTCTGTTTTTCTCCTCTTTATGGTGTTTATGAGCAGACGTTCTGAATTGATCATTTAAAGAACATCTTCATTGGAAGTGTGCGAAACCCACGATATCTTTAGGATTCGTCTATAGCACCACAATTCGAATGCTTCTAACTTGTTTAGCATTGTGGTTTTTAACGTCCATGTCTCACAACCATACAATAGGATCGACCACACATAACATTTCAGGACCTTCTTACGAATATTCATTGACAGGTTTCTGTTGCATAAAACTGGTTTCCAGGTCATAAAAGCCTTACGTGATATTTCGATCCTGGATATTATCTCTTCATCAGAGTCACAATTTACATTTAACCAGCTGCCAAGGTATTTGAAATGATTTACCCTTTCTATCTCTTCTCCATTAAGAGAAAGCATACCTTGATCTATATGGATCTTTCCAACTGCTATCCACTTTGTCTTTGAAATGTTGATTTTTAGGCCTCTCCGATAACTTGCTTCACTGACTAGATTTAGTAATGTTTGGAGATCTTGTAAACTTTCTGCAAGAATGGCTGTATCGTCAGCGTATCTAATATTGTTGATTACTTCTCCACCTAGTCTTACTCCCTCTTGTCTGTCATCCAAAGCCTCCCTAAAGATTTCTTCAGAGTACAGATTAAAAAGAGTGGGTGACAAAACACAACCCTGCCGTACTCCACGTTTGATGGGTATTTTTTCAGTGGGACTGTCTCCAATTTGGATAGAGGCTACTTGATTGTAATATAAGTATTTCAGCAGTCTTATATCATAGTGGTCAAGTCCTGCTGCCCGTAGGCAGTCGAAAAGTGTATAGTGTTGGACTCTGTCGAACGCCTTCTCGAAGTCGATGAAACAAACATAAACATTCTTTCTGAATTCACAACTTTTTTGTAATAGAACGCGCATACAGAATAGTGCCTCTCTAGTTCCTAGACCGTTTCTAAATCCAAATTGCTTATCACCCATCTTACTTTCGCATAGAAGGAATACTCGGTTTTGTATAATTCCTAAGAGTATCTTCAGTGTGTGACTCATCAAACTGATTAGTCTAAAATCGCTGCATTTGGTGGGCCTGCTTTTCTTTGGTAATGTTATAAACAGTGACTCTAACCAATCGTCTGGTATTTTTCCTTCGTTGTAAATTTTGTTGAAGAAAGTGGTTAAGCAGGCAATGCTTTCCTCATCCAAAATTTTAAGTAGTTCGGCAGGGATTTGATCTGGTCCAGGTACTTTATTGTTTTTGGCTTGCTGTATTGCCTTTTCGACTTCCGAATTCAGTATATTGGGACCTCTGTCCAACTGGTTGTCACAGGCAGTATTTGGAGCATTTTCTCTAGAAGCATCCTCAAAAAGGTCAGTGATGTATCTCTCCCATTCTTTGCACTGTTGTTCGTGATCACAAATTTTTCCGTCCGCGCTTTTAAGTATGTGAGCATTTTTCTGTTTTCTAATTCCGGCAGTATATTTAAGTTTCTTATGCAGGTTCAAGCTGTCATGCTTTTTTTGGAGGTCTTCTCTTTTTTTACATAAATTCTCAAGCCAGGATTCTTTGGCTTGCTTAATTTTTCTTTTTATGCGTTTATTAATTTCACGATATTCGATAATATTTCTATTTTTGTGTTGCCGTCGAACTTCCATCAGATCTAGAATTTCTTGTGTCATCCACTCATTTTTTGCCAACATGGTAGGTGTTTTCAAAGACTCTTGTACGTTCTCTAAAATCGAGTTTTGAATGGCATACCAGCATTCGTTAATGGTTCTGTTTTCGTTTGGTATATTTGATATTCTGTGTATTTTACTATTTATTTGCTGTGATATGTGTTCGCGCGTTTGAGGGTCTTTCAGGGGGTCGAGATATATCTTACAAGGCTTAGTTGGCTTTGTTAATTTCTTCAATTTAATTTGTATTTTGGAGCAGAGTAAATTGTGATTTGAGTTTATGTCAGCGAAAGTTAACAGGTCAATAAAAAATGTCCAATCCCACAGTTGTGTGTGTTTTCCGAATATACATACAAAATATACATGTTCCGTGGTTGTGTGGATGCGTGTGTGATTAACTTATTTTCCACGGAATCAAAATAAAAATAATAATAAATTCGAAGAAAACGTAGAAAAAACTGTTAATAATATTTATTTTCGTAAAACGTAATTAATTCTGGATGGGAAGGTATTTTTGTGTGTATCCGATTGTGTGCGGACCGATGCAAATTGTGATTATTGATTACTAAACTAAACACACACTCTTTGTTTTTAAAAGCCAGATGATAAACTCAAGTATTATCGGCCTGGTCTCTTGGGATCTCATTGCTTACAATATATTTCGTTTCCCACACATGAAAAATGCAACCTCAACACTCAGTTAAAGTTAAGGCTATTTTATCGGTGCACCAAAACTTAGGGACAGTGTTTTCTCTGTTATTTACCAACAAAATGTCTCGAAATTAGGACACGTTATTCGAAATTATGTTGCCTTTAAAATGATGTTTTTTTTTTATTTTTTTGAAACTTCTGTTGAAAAATTGGATTATACTATTTAACGTTCTATTATAACCAAACTTTTTACGCCCATCACTTGAAAGAGTTTTTTTTCTATTCGCTTCGTGCGTGACCATGGTAGGGGTACATTGAAACGATGCCAGCGTGCGTAGCGGCGAAATATGACAAAATTGGAATATTGGACAAAATATTTTTACGCATAAGTTTTATCAAAAATGTGTGCAAATACATGTTGCGTATTTAATTCTGCTAATAATAGCAGAAACAGTGAGTGTAGTTTTTATAGGTTCCCAAAGATTACATATAAATTAGAGAAAAGAAAAAGATGAATTAATGCTATTAATATGAAAAAGTAAATATCACATAATTTCATTTTTATGCAATTGAAATAGGAACAATTTAAATAATTTACCTTGAATGATATTTCATAAGGCTTCAAGCTAACTGCAGATGACTTTAGCTTTTATATCATAACTTTTACTATTATTGTTTTAATTATATGCTCTTTTGCGTGAAAAACTTGATTTGCCAGTACTAGATTTTTCGCTTTCTTTTCCGTTTGGAGTTGAAAAGATATATTATGATGAATTTTGAGAAACTCAGTTTTTAATACTATATTTATTTTGTACATAAACTAAAAAAATATAGTTAAAAAACTAATTTATTAATAATTGTCAATTTCGCATGTATTTAACAATGTCAATGTCATATATTTAACCTGAAAATTGGGACTCCAAAATTGTCAGATGAAGGCGGTAGGTGTCGCATCAGTCACGCACGAAGCGAATAATCGTTGATTTTTTTTTCACCTTTCTGTGTTAAGTAATAATCGAGAAAATCGTGTTCCAACTTTGAAGAAAATCGCTAAAAAAATCTAAAATCTAATAGTGAAACGTGTTACTCATTATTGTCGCTTAGTTTCATCGTTATCGCCTTCGTGGCGTCAAATCTCATGAACGTACGGTCAGTTAGTTCATGTTAAAACTAATTTGAATGGAGAATAATGCATTTGTTGTCATACCCGTCGTCACTGAGTAAAGATGGTCTGGCGTAAATAGTGTAGAAAAGTAAGTGATACGCCAATTTCAAATAGCAGTGTGCTTCAACTGCTAAAAAAACCTTAATGTTTGGGCAGCAACTTTAGTTAACAAATTAATAGGTTATCATATTTTACCTGGAAATTTAAATATGCGATCTGTTATTTAATTTTTGAATAGAAAAGTTATAATTATTCGTAATTAGCTTGTCGCTACACATTAATTATAAAATTATATTTCTTTGTAGGAAACTCCAGATGAAAGCACCCAGGGGAAAATTGGATTCGTACTTATGGTACGTAAAGGTAACAAACAGCAATATAAACAGTTTGAAGCTGATGTTGATTCAGAATTAGCACAAAATCTTAGAGACCAAGAGCAGGCTCAAAGGGAAGAGAAGGAGAAAGTCAAACGTCTTACGTTAAACATAACAGAGAGATTCGAAGAGGAAGACTATCAAGAAATGATGCAACAACAAAACAAGCCTATTACCCAAAATTTAAATCGAGAAAGAAAAAAATATCAACATCTTAAAGGTACCCCAGATGCTGACTTAATATTTGGTCCTAAAAAAGTTCGATAAAGAATATGTAAGTACCACAGAAGGAATTAACTATTGGAACTCAAATTGAACTGAGGATTTTAAAAGAAATAAAACGCTGTAGACTAGTTGTGGTTTGAAGTTAAGATTTTTTTGAGAATTACGTCCTTTATGAAGTATTTAAGAAGTTTTTTTACGATTGTGAGTGACGTTTTGTTTAAATTTTCTAAATAAATTAGCAGTTTACTTATTGTTGAAGTCTGTGTTTTTTTTTATTATAAAACCGCAAAGATGGTATTTTTTATAAACCGTTACACTTCATCCAATTTTGTCGTGAAAATGACGGTAATGTAAATGGATTATTACTATTAATTTGATAATTTTTAATTTTATTTGTCTACCGCTTCTGCTATAATTTTATCAAAAAACTCTTCTTCATCTGATAACGAATCTTGCAGTGTAAGACTTACTTCACTTTCATATTCGCTACTTTCATTTTTCTTTTTGTTTATTATTTTCCTTTTAGGGATTTCTTCGGGTTCTTCTTCATTAAATACTTTTCGCTTTACCTGTCTTTCACACTTTTTACACTGCTCTTGAGGTTATAGAACAATATAAATCTACTATTTATATTGTTCTATTTCTTCTTTAACAGGTGTATCTGTTAAAATTGCACTTCTTACCTTTCTTCTCTTCGTCTTAGTTTCTTTTCTTGGTGCTGTCTTCGGAAAAGGCCTTTATTTCGTTTGGAGAAATTATAGGTTAGTTGTCTCGACTTGTAGATTGTGTAGATATTATTTTCTGGCGGTGGTATAGATATTATTGTCATCGTTATTAGCATCTTTATTACTTTCAATACCATTAGAAGGTTCTGGTTCGAATTCGTCGGTCGGTGGCGTAAGCTGACCTACGTCACCGACGTAGGTCATAAGTCTAAATTCATCTTCACTAAAAACAGTGTCATTAAATGGCCAAATCCCTGTCACAAGAAAGTCTTTCACATTATTGTTAATCGAAAAAAAATTGTTCCAATTATTTCGGAAATGTAAATGCTTATAGGTTTTCCTGGATTATTTGGTAACCACTAATTTGAAGCTTGGTTAAAAAACGTTTTATATGGACCAAAAACGTTTCTGTCTAGTGGTTGTAGCTTGTGAGATTTATGGGGCGGTCCCGGTTTATTTAAGCCGGGATATGTGATTCATGGTTCCATCTCTCTTTTTGACCCAGTCTAAATCGAGCTTGTGACGTTGGGAACTGCAACTCGTAACCAGCGCATGGCATCCACGTGATAATTCTATCTGTTCGGCGGCCCAAGTATAACTCAAACAGATTAGAAAAGTATAAAACGGCTTATTGTAATATCTAGTTGGTAGTACTCACTAGCGAACCCAATTATATAGATGTCAATAAGTTCAAATATATGGCTTTCAAAGTTTCCCATTCTTCATTTGCTATAGGAACCTTAGTAACCAACATGTAGGGGAGAGTGTTGTACCTTTGTGAAAATTTCGTGTCGTTTGGCTCAAAATATTTAAAAATTGCTTTATAGCGACCAGTGAAGCATACATAAGTAGATACAACCTTTATCTGTAAATGGCAAAATATAGGTCTTTGGATTCGTTTCATTTAAGTTTTAAAAAAAATTGAAATTGTTTTGACAGGTCGTTCAAATGTACGACACTGTGTTGTACCTTTGTCCACATTATGTTGTACCTGTGGTCAAAGAACAATTTACCTTCAATTAAGAAGAAACAAGACAAACGAACGGAATCTTATTTATTACATGAATTATAAGATGACAAACATGATTACGTTACATTGTATGTATCAAATTTAACATTGTTCTGAAGCTATTTTCTTGTGGCATTTTAAATTAATTACTATTTAACTGGGAATAAGCCACAATTAAAGATAAAAATACGTTTATTGACGTTTCAATTTCCACTTCGGAAATCGTTCTCAAAATACAAACAGTAAATTAAACAAATTTTGTTTTTTGTTACATAGTGAAAAATTCTTCTAATAATTTAATTTTATCTGACTCATTTATATTGACAATTCAGACATACATTATGCATTTTAATGTAGACGACTTTAAAATGATATTGCCAATATTGTTGAGTTGCGCTCCTGGGACAACTTTACTTATAAGATAGTTCATTCGATTACATGAAATCAACTTTAACTTGAGAATATCCGTCAGAAAAAAATCATAGCATGTAATTCGTCTTTAACAAGACAAACACATGACATGATGACAGTAAAATTCTCCTGTTAGTTATTCCATAGTAAATTATGAGGGAAAAACCAGGAAAAAAACCTCATAATACTATCCCGACCATGGACGTATACGTCCATGATCCCGACATGGTAAGTATTTGTTCGTGAATTTAGTTTACCTTCAATAAACACCAAAATTCTGATTTTATATGTTTCGTTATTTAAAAAACATAAATGATGTATCCTCCATATGTTACTGACTTACTAATACTGGTATTTTCTTATTAATAACTTCCTCTTTCAATATCGGTAACCAGATCCCACTACATTCATCCGAGGAATTTGCGACACAATTCTCCTCATTTAATATAATTAGAGCCGCTTCTTTGATTTTTCTTTTTTTACCATCCGTTTCTTTTAGGACTACATTTGAATTATTCCATTGAACCCTATGTTCATTATCCCATGCGTGTTTACATATTTGAGATCTATCAAATTCTCTATTTTTAATATAAGATTGATGTTCACTTAGTCTAAAATTTAATGGCCTTGATATTTCACCTAAATAAAACTGATCGCATTCACAAGGTATTTTGTAAATGCAATTCTTTGTCCTTTCTTGTTCATTGTTAGGTTTGGTTTTGGACAAAATAGATCTCAACGTGTTTGTTGTTTTGAATGTTGTTGAATTTATTTCCTATTCTTTTAAGTTTTTCTGATAATCCTTTTATATTCGTTTTATAATTTAACATTAATGCACATCATATTTTGTTGGCGTTGTGATGTTCCAACCAAATCTGGTGAAGGCAGTTTTTTTTATCATGTCGTCTTCGGAGACACAAGAGACTTCCTCATCTGAATTGACAAATTTATTGTTTCCAATAACTGTTTTTAAATATTTGACCATGTATTCGTCATCTAAAACCTCAACTATGTTGGAAACATAGTGTGCAATATTCTTTTTACTGGTCAATTATACGAGAACAAAAGCACCTTCTTTTAACTTAGAAGATCTAAGTATTTCTTCACTTTCCTGTTTCTCTAATGAATAATTTTCGTTTTCCAAAAAAGTTTCTAAATCCTTGTCACTTGAATCCTTTGTTATATTTTTCATCTCTTCATCAGATTCATCTGAACTATTGCTGAGAACCTTCCTTTTGACTGACTTTGGTTTTTCACCTTACTTTGCAATAGTTCCTTTCTCCGGGGTGCTTGTCAAAATTTTTGTTTTACCACGCTTTCCTCCCTTTTGAGAAGTCTTTCGAGCTACGGCTGCAGTGAAAGTGCCGGTGTCAAGTTTGATGTTGATGGATTTGCGGATAGTTGAAGGCATGATGAGCAAGATGTATTAGGATTCTCTTCTGATTCTGGATTTGGGCGATCTATTACATAGGACGACAGATATTCGTGGTCGTCAAATATATTTTCATTAACAGGCCATATCCAGTTTTTCAAATACTTTGACAATGTTTGCAGGGGTAAATGCTTTTGCAAATGCCTTGCGTACGAGTTCAGCTACGTCATACAAGCTTATAGGACGTCCAGGATGGGTCATCATCCACTCATTAGCTAGGGTGTTGTAGTAGGTTTTTTATGGTCCAAAAACAGTCCTGTCAAGAGGTTGAGTTCTGTGCGAGGTATGTGGCGGCAACGTTAATAGCACAATATTATTTTCCTTCGCCAAATCAATCGCAGAAACTGCAATATGGGACTCGTGATTATCGAGTATTAGTAGCACTTTTTCTGGCTCTCTCGGCTTAACGTGGACTATAAAATATTGCAAATAGTGTAAAAAAAGCTTCTCGTTTGACCATCCTGATGGATTTGCGCCTCTAATTAAACCCGGTGGTGCACCATGTAACATGTGGTCCTAGAAAAACGCGCGAGAGAATATCAACATGGGCGGCACATGGTTACCGATGGCATTATCGCAGCAATCAAAGTTACATTTATCCCATCTTTCTCCGGATGTCATACTACCCAATTGCTTTACACCTTTTAAGGCTATTTATTATCTTAGGTGGGGCATGGACTGAAGAATTCCCGGTTTCATCTAAATTATAGATATTGGCAGGAGAAAACTTACAGCGTGATATTACTGTTTTAAGTTTGTTGAAAAAAGCTTGGATATTTTCTTTATTAAAACTGGTTGACTTTGCCCCCGGTGTTCCTTAACGACAATTATGGATGCCGATTCATGAAGCGTATCAGCCATTCTTTGCCTGTAGTTGCATTTGATGTCCAATTGTCTGGTGTTTTTATGTTGTTTTCACGTGCGTATTGAAATGCTAAGATTCTTGCATCTTTTTTGTGAGCTATAATGAAGCGACGCTGCCTGTGTCAAGTACTGCTCCAACTGTGACTCTTGTTCAAGTGAATGTAGGAACTTTGGAGTTTACATACATTCGAATATGATTAGATAAGGTTGATCGACAAATATATTTTTTGGCAGCTTGTCGAACCGGAATCTTATTTTCGAAGATGTCGACAGCTTTCTGCAAAGCACCTACTTTGTCTCTTTTTATTTCACTTTTGCTTCGTGGCATTTTTTCTGTAAAGTTTGGTGTCAGTTTTGTAGAGTTTATTAGCCGAGTGAGGTTAATAAAGCACATAAGCGATAAAAATTGCCTTAACGTCGCGGTCCATATTAAAGCAAAGAGACCACAGAGCCTCCTCTGATTTGAAAATTTATTGCCTATGCATTACAAACACACGTCAGTGCCGATTTCGCCTTACTTTAGTGTCTACTTCTAGTGAAATTACAGATAAATTAGAAAAAGTAAAATGTTTTGTCTTGTTGTACCTTTGGCCATTGCCAGTTGTACCTCTGGCCAGGCCAAAGGTACAACAAACGTAATATCCCAAGTTACAACAATGTTTACGACTACCAAAACACATTATTTTTTTAAGGTTATGTAAACTTTAGGCATTGGTGACACAAGTTTTAAATAGCAAACATAGTATATTTCTTACCTGGGAAATTATAGATGAAACCAGCCACAACTTTGTAACACACCGGCTCTTTATGTTCTCGCTAATTATTTACTTTTAACACGAAAAATTCACAAGCCTGACTAACTTTCAAAGTCTTTATATTTATGAAGCGAAACTACTGTACCTACCTCAAGTATTCAATAGCAGAACGTTAAAGCAAAAATCTTTCCAACACGGAGAAAACAACAATTTTAACGACAGTGTCCAGAGGTACACGAGCCCAAAGGTACAAACTCTTCCCTACTTGGTTTTGTCTTCGTTGATGACTAAACTGATCTGTTTCGCCGCCGTTTCTAATTATAGGAAATGTTGCTCAATATCTCGTTTGCTACGCCCTATTATGTCAACGTCATCAGTGTATGCTAAGATTTGTATCGATAGTACCACCGTTTCTATTCATGTGTCTCGGACTGACTTTTCCAAGGCGAAGCAAACCAGAGCACCTCTTTTAACTTAAAGGATGGATAATTCTCTCCCTATATCCTAACACTATCTTCTTCTAAGTATTAACGTTTTTAAGTTTCACGTTCACCGATCACGGTGTGATTTAAAATTACTACGTTTACCATCACTAGTTCAAACGGTGAAGTCTCCTCTGACCTATCACTTTCCTGTCGCGCACCTGAAGGTCAGATACATAATAAAATTTTCTAAGGAATATATCTTAAATATAAAATTTTAAATAAATACGATTAGCACAAAAACTGAATTTATTTTAAATTAGTTTTCTCTTGATATCTCCTTATGCATCCATAGGATGTTGGAGTAAATAACAAAAAAATAAAAAAACAACTAACTCTAAACAAATTAGAAAAGTATAAAACGGCTTATTGTAATATTCAGTCGGCATCTTGAAAGTCATCTTCTTCAGTTGTGCCGTTTGTATAATTTATTTGAATGTTGAGATTGTTTCTCAGGATTCTTCTAGAAAGATCATCTACATCTGAAATAAAATAGAGTGAGATTAAAAGAAGAAAAAATAATTGTACTATACTCTTGACTTTCTTTCTACAATAACATCTACTACTGATCTCTTTATATATGCTGGGAGATGAACAATAGCTTTTGGTATTCTAAATGCAACACCCTATATATTATTGCATTTTTAGATTCTACGTAAAATTCTAGATAGAATTTGAATAAGATACCATGGGTCAAAACTTCATATTTTTTGAGTTATTTACCTTTTTTAAAAAAAATTGACCACAGTAAGCAAAATATTTTAAATGAAACACCCTGTATTTTATAATTTTAATAAAAAAAGAAGTTAATTGTCTTTCAAATCACCCCACACATTTAAGGACCTCCTAGTTTGACTCTTTGTAATTATGTGGTTCGGATTAGATGTGGAGTAATAGTGGAAGTTATGCCGATTGACAGATCGAATTATTTTTTATTGTGTTGTAGTATTTTTGTTTCACACCGTATATAATAAAACACCAAAAAAATTCTTAATTTTTTTGCGTATGTGAGATTGATAATATAAACATTTTTGGTCTGTTTATAATAACACAAATTGCTTTTTCGTTTAATCTTGATTCCGCGTAGATATTACGCAGGAAATATAAGGAATCTTTACGCTTATGTTTATACTCATTTCGGAGGATGATATCACTCTTCGATGAATCGGATATCGGCAGCGAAAGCAGTCAATTTCATTGTTGAAGTCATGAAGAATTTAGTAACAGGAAATTCGATAAAGAGAACGAATTTGGATCTGAACGAGAAAGAATCTTTTTCGGTGATAGAATCAAAACCCGACAAATTTTGGCTTAATTTAAATGAGTTTTGGTTAAAAGGAAGGTTATTAGGCTTAAATGCTATGTAAGTCTTTGTGAAGCGAGATAATCACAGGTTTGTTGCTGTATTATGTGCCACGGGATTGGATAAACAGCATGTCTGAGGACTAAGTGAGGCCCACATGGTTTTAAGTGAAAATTAAGCAGCCGAGTTTTAAAGAATACATATTGTTATCATTCAAGATTACCTGAAGCCCAATTCGATGCTTGATCTCACCAAGATTTGTCCAGCTTCCATTTCATGTATCTCATAGGTCGAAGTTTGAGAATAATTTGAAAGGAAATAAGTGAAAAAGTAAGCTAGTCCCATAAAATTTGCCCCCGTAACAATATAAATTGGTGCGATTCACGAGCGTATAGTTAGACAAGTTAATTGAATATTTTGAAACATCGGTAAACTTATCAACAATTCGTTGGTGTACATATATTTACGTTCTTAGAAAGAATGAGAATGAGAGAAATATATTTTAGTTTATTCGTCTTCCGGGTTTGGACCGTGTCATTTGTGAGTGACCCAAAAGTGGGTTCATCTCGACGTTTCGCTACAATTGTATGTAGCTTCTTCAGGAGAACAAAAAAGAAAAAAGAAAGAAAGAAGAAAACAAAAGAACAGGAAGATGGGTAGTTAGCAACGGTAACTCAGTTACTCAACGCAACCAGAGGCGAATACTAACTACCAAGATGGGCATTTGGTCACAGTAACTCAACTACTCAACGCAGCCAGAGGTGAAAACCAAATGCCAGAACAGGGATTCACGTCCAACAGCTCAGAACACTAATGGATGAGAGAGTTGGATCGTTACCTACATGCTTCATCACACCACCATCCTGCCCAAAAGAATTCTGTGATCAACTCTCTCATCCATCGGGCCATTTCGATTTCTGAACCCGACAACCTTAGAGAAGAACTTGGCCATCTGCAAAAAACCCTTGTCGCCAACGGTTACTCCAAGTCCACAATTCAAAATATTACACACCGACATCTACATCCCCCTTTACACCCTAGGACGACAAATTCAGAATCTTCGGGTAATACTCCTGTGGCTTTTCTTCCGTATATTCGAAATGTCACTGATAGGATTGGCAAAATTCTTCGCAAAGAAGGTATCAGGACTACTTTTCGACCACCCAAGAGAATCTCACAATATCTACCCTCTCCTAAGGACCCATTACCGCCCCTATCTTCCTGTGGTGTCTATTCTATTCCTTGTTCATGTGGACATGTGTATATTGGCGAAACTGGTCGTTCCGTCAAAACTCGGATTCAAGAGCATCAAAGATGCATTCGATCAGGTCTTTTCTCCCATTCTGCAGTTGCAGAACACTGCCAAGAAACCGGTCATTCCATATTGTTCGAAAAAACCCATATTATTTCTAAAAGCAACTTCTTTTATTCCAGGAAAATCCGCGAATCTCTAGAGATCCGAAAAAATCCCCATAATATCAATCGAGAGGAAGGATACTACTTGTCTCCCATCTGGAATCTCAGTCTAGAACCGCCGTCCGGTCCCGCCATCACGATGCAGCCACATGATTGGCCAGCGCGCGCTTCTTGACGTTCGCGCCACGAAGTGTGCCGATACGTCCCGACACGACAGGCACCGCGACTATAAATAGAGCGGTAGCGGAGTAATCGTCGGATTCACTCCCCGCCTCTCGACGCGTTAGTGTTCTGAGCTGTTGGACGTGAATCCCTGTCCTGGCATTTGGTTTTCACCTCTGGCTGCGTTGAGTAGTTGAGTTACTGTGACCAAATGCCCATCTTGGTAGTTAGTATTCGCCTCTGGTTGCGTTGAGTAACTGAGTTACCGTTGCTAACTACCCATCTTCCTGTTCTTTTGTTTTCTTCTTTCTTTCTTTTTTCTTTTTTGTTCTCCTGAAGAAGCTACATACAATTGTAGCGAAACGTCGAGATGAACCCACTTTTGGGTCACTCACAAATGACACGGTCCAAACCCGGAAGACGAATAAACTATAATTCTGACTCTGGCCGTGGAAGCCTACGATTTCAAATATATTTTAGTTTATTCGTTGCACATTATATATGTTCATAGGCGTAATTTGGTCTATTTCTTGGGAATATATTTATTAAATAGACTTTATTATTAATTTTAAAATAGTTTTGAGGTATGTAAAGTAAATTTGAGGTAAGTTTATTCTTTTTATAGTATTAACCCATGAACGAGCGATACAATAAACAAAAAGAAATTTGGCAATAAATTTATTAGATTAGATTAAAAACACATAAATTAAGACCAATTTACAACCAAAAAGATTTTTTTGTCTCATTTTCAAGAAAAACAGTACAATTTTTAATAAAGGAATATATTGTATCTTAAATGTACAATAAATTTTGTGAAAATTTTCAAAACATTCGGGGTGTAAATGCACTCTACACATTTTAGCTAAATAAATAGTATTGACCTCATCCTTCGACCAATACATATCAACTTGAAGCAGAGTGTAAACCAGATAATATACATATGCCAATAATTTTTTTTAAATCTATGTCATTCATTTCAAAGTCGTGACGGTTATTCTGCGATGCATAAATATTTGTAAAATATATAATGCTCTCAACTACTTGTTTATCAAAAGAGTGAAAGAACTTCAATATCTTGCCTCCATGGTTGGCTTTGAGACAAATTTGGATTTACTATTTTTGCCTGGTTTTTTCTTTGGACGTTTTCTCTGTGGTTCAGTGGAATATCATAATCAGAATCGCCAATCAATTGTATTTCATATGTACCTGCAATATCCGATTTGATTGATTCTTCACAAATAATATTATCATCAATATCTTCTACATCGGAAACTTCATCTAATTCCGGCGGCAAATAAACCACATTAAGTAAGGCAGCGTTTTCACCATCTGAGTCTTGTTTTAACAAACCTATTAACACTTAAGTAGTTACTGCCATCTTTATTTCATATGTCGATAATTTACTGAAATAAACAAATGCACTACTATATAAAAACATTTACATGATAATAGTTTAGCTTACTTCATTTTAATTTATATGGAATATAAAACAAATAAACACAAGGAAACTTTCAAATCAAGTTAAAAAAACAAATATAATGTTTACGGCACACAGCAATTCTATAAATAGAGAATGAAGTATAATGACGAGATCCTATGTTAAAATTTCAGATTGTTTAATCTAATGAAAAAATAAGTATTTTATAAAGTTTTCTGTTTTTTGAAGTACTGTATTAGGTACTCTAAAATAACAATAAAATTTTACTTCGTTTTATTAGACAACTATAAGATACCTGTTAAAAGACACATAATTTAATAATTATATCGGTCTTATATTTCATTTTTACGTGATTACTTGTGTTTAAATAAATAATTAACAATTTTTGTTGGTACGCCTCTGCAAAATTGATAATTTCGTTAAGTGCGATGTTGCCAATTGATCACCTTCAATTAAAAATTGTTTTAGTATAGATATTTTTATTTGTAATAACTGTTTATGTGAAATAAGCCACAATTAAAGGTTAAAATACGTTTATTGACGTTTCAATTTTCACTTCGTAAAAAATAAATATGTAATGTTTCTTTAATCCAGGAGTTTAAAATTATTTCTTTAAAAATATATTCTCCCTTAAAATTTTGTAGGAAAGAAAATAATTTTAAATAGTTTAGGAATCTTCTTGTGTGGTGTTGCCCAGCACATCTCTGTAAGTATTTTTTGATTTCTTTTTCGTAGTCAGTCCCTCAAATAAAGGAATCCTTATCCAAGACCTACCTCTCCAACCAAAATACGCGTAGCCGTTCGCAAACGTTTCAATTTATTTTCTTACCTTATCTCCAGCCCAGTAATTGTTCAGTCCTCGCTTTCAACCCCTTATAAGCAAATTGTATATTGTTACAGTGTACATTCACATAAAGCTACCCTTTTTCTGAATAGAGGTTCGAGAGAATTTTCTGAATAGATCCGTAACTAATGTATTGCTCTCTTGAAATATTTCATATACTTTTATGAGGATGCTCAGTAACAGCCAAAAAAACATTTAATTCGCTTTCTTGTGAAACCGAATGTTTGACTGAATGAATCTTGTTTCACTGAACCATTACAATTTAATCTATCCATTACATTTTGAAATCTGGATATCACTCATCATAGATTCCTGCTGCAAGTAAACAGTTCTTACTACATTCCTATTATCCATAACATATCTACCAGTTCTTCCCTTTCAAAATTTATTATTGAGTGCAGTAAAATAATTAAAACGGGATGTGGCAATCCGGTGGTGATCGAGGAGGGGAAGCATAGCTTTTTATCGTCTACGCAAGGAGCGATGGTTTTCTTTAAATTTATTTTATTCTATTCTTCACTTTCTCTTCACTTTTATGTCTATTCGATTCGATAATTGATTCGATTCCATAATCGATTCGGTTCTGTATTTGATTCGATTCGATAATCGATAAACTTGAATTAAAACGTAATTGTCAATTTGTGAAACATACCTTCCTAGCATCCTTAATTTAACTGATATAAAAACTCATTTCGAATACCTTCTACAATGAAAATAACAATTTCTTTATTTTTTTGTGTTCCACCTCGATCGTAGTGGTTGTTAATGGGAGTGCGGGCACGCATCGAGCTAGATATTGGCAAGCGATAACTTCCTTCGGTAGCGCTATCGTTACAATTTAAAAATACTGATCAAATAATGAATTTATGTTTTCACTTACCCTGTATTCGATTTAAAGAGTATTAGGACAATTATAATTATGGCTACAATAGGTCGTTGCTTTTTGTACCCCTTTTCAATTATGCAGGACATTGAACTTGACACGATTGTCATTGAAATTTGGTTATACATTTTTAAATACCCTGTATCACATCCAACTTTGTATTCTTTTAACCATGAAGTGAAGCGGATTTTAAATTTAAAATAAAATACAGGGTTCTTCATACAAAAAAACATATTTTGCGGTGAAGTGTTATGGGAGACCCTGTATATTTGTAACTAATTTTAAAATGTGAAGCTAAGAACTACCTCCTATTTTGTAAATATTTTTTTTGTATCTCTTATAATCACAGATATAACCGACTTTGACACAAAAGTTGATCACCCTGTATAGAGTTCTGCAAATTAAAATAAAAATTATATTGATGTCAGTATTGGATAATTCGTTTAAATAATTAATGAACAAAAAATTAATTGTGGTAGACAGTTTAATAGAAAATGAAAGGCAAATTAAAATAAACATAATTGTACCAAATAAAAACGGGTTCGCTATTCCCAGTCCGAACTGTCTAGTGAATTTAGTAATTATTTTTTGCGAAGTTAGTTACTTTTTGACAGACTAGAAGTGGCTGGAAATTACTATACAACCAAGCACATGTGCTCTTAGCCAATATTAATGTAAACAAACGAAAATAAAATAGAACTTTACGAATTACCGACAATCAATATTTATTTATTTACACCAAATGATGTATTGATAACAAATAATAAAATTATTTAGGTACAAAATAAAAATATTCTGAGGATATAAATTCTACAAAATTAAGCAGTCACCAGTCAATCAAAGAGCATACTTAATTGTTGTTGACATTTTCATAGGACTGGATCAACATAAACTGTGGTTTTATACTATAACAAACAAAGCAAATATTAGTAATTTTCCAACAATTCGTACAGTCATGCTAGGTATTCCTGTTCAATAATAAAACTTGCGCGTGAGTTTAATAAAATAAACAGCGTGATTAATACAAATATTTACTAAAATATGTTGAATTATAACAACTGAAATCTTCTTACATGCCATACACCAAAGTGCGTAGGCGACTATCTCATTACTAGAATTCTGTTCTTGGCGGCGTGACACAGCTCACCTGTATTGTGTATTCTTGTCCATTCTTTAATATTCCTTAACCAGGACAATTGTTGCGGCCGGCTCCTCTCCTACCTTCGATATTCCCTTGTAGGATTAACTTTGGTATTTCATATTTTGCTCCTCTCAATATGTGCCCAAGGTAACCAATCTTGCGTTTTTTAATTAATTCAAAGAGTTCTCTTTCCACGCCGGCTCTATTAAGGACGTCATCGTTTCGAACTCTATCCACCCAAGGTATGCGCATCATTCTTCTCAATGACCACATTTCAAATGCTTCAAGTTTGTTGATAGATGTTTTTTTCAAAGTCCACGTTTCCATGCCATAAAGCAAGATGGACCATATGTAGCACTTGACCATTCTGTAGCGTATTTCGAAGTTTAGGTGTTGATTACATAGGAGCGGTCTGAATTTCACAAAAGCTTGTCTTGCCACTTGTATTCGGGTTTTTATCTCGTGTTGTGGATCCGATTGGTCATTGATTGTGGTGCCAAGGTATTTAAAAGTTTTCACGCGATTTATACGATTGTCACCTATGCATAATATCGGGTTTTCTGGAGGGTTTCTGCTAATGACCATATATTTCGTTTTCAAAATGTTGATTTTGAGGCCATATTTTTTACCTATGCTATTCACCCTATCAAGTAATAACTGCTGATCTTCCAAATTATCAGTTATAATCACTGTGTCGTCCGCATAGCGTAGGTTGCTAATTGGTATGCCGTTCACCTTAATGCCTAATTCCGTATCTTCTAATGCTTCCGCAAATATATTTTCAACATATAAATTAAAAAGCATCGGAGAGAGTATGCAGCCTTGGCGGACACCTTTCCGGATTTCAAATTCATCCGTATATTGGTCTTGATCAATCCTCACCTTTGTCATTTGGTTCCAGTATAGATTCTGAATAATTCTGATCTCCTTCTGGTCAATGTTGGCCCTATGTAGTAGTTCCATCATGATATCATGTTTAACATTGTCAAATGCCTTCTCGTAGTCGATGAAGGTGAGGTAGACATCTTTTCGTTGATCTAAGCAGTTTTGTATTAAGGTGTTCAAACATAAAATTGCCTCTCTTGTTCCTAGTCCTCCCTTAAAACCGAATTGTGTTGACCCGCTAAGTTCTTCTAGTATCTTATACATTCTTGAGTGTAATATCCTAAGGAAGAGTTTCAACAAGTGACTCATTAAACTGATTAAGCGGTGTTCATTGCATTTTGTGGCATTAGCTGTTTTTGGGATCATCACAAAGGATGACTGCAGCCATTCTCGCGGAATGTAACCAGTATCATAAATTCTATTGAACAGCCTTACCAAGATTTCGATATTCTCCTCGTCTAGTAGTTTTATTGCTTCTATATTAATTTCATCTGGACCTGTTGCTTTATGCATCTTTGTGGTTCTAACTGCATATTCTATTTCACTTCGCATTATTGATGGCCCTGATAAGTTTTCGGAAGGAAGTTTGCGCGTTGGTTGTGTTGGTCTTTCGTCATTAAAAAGGCTTTCTGCGTATTATTTCCACGCCATTGCTATCTCTTCTTCTGACTCTATGTATTCGTTTCTGTCGTTGCGTATTCTTGTTCTGTGGTGGCTTTTGTGTATATTCGATATTTCTTTGATCTTCTTATGTAGTCCAAAACTATCTCCTTTTTCCTGCAATTGTTCTATTTCGTTGCACCTTTCCACCATCCAACGTTCTTTTGCTTTCTTAATTTTCTGACGGATTTCTTTGTGTATCTGTTTGTATTTGTCTTGATTACGTTGTTGTTTATGTTGCCTTCGCTTTTCCATTAGATCCATAATTTCGTCCGTCATCCATTCGTTATGCTTTATCTTTCTGATCTGTGTTTTAACTTCCCTGTTTACTGCCAGAATCGTTCCTTTAATATCATTGACCATCTCTTCGATATCATAATTTTGTTCTATTACTCGCATTCTTTCATTAATTTGATTCGCATAACTCTTCTTCAGATTTTCGTCTCTCATCAGTTCTCTTGTATTTATAGGTGTGCTAGTATTTGTATTTGTTCTCTTAATTTTTGCTAGTTTTAACCTCACATCTGCTATTAGCGGATTATGATCGGATGCAATATCAGCACCTGGATATGCTGCGATTCTTTTGATAGCGTTACGAAATCTTCTGTTTATTAAAACGTAGTCAATTTGGTTTCTAATTATTCGATTTGGACGGTCTCCTGGCGATCTCCAAGTATATAACTTACGAGGTGGGAGCTGAAACCATGTGTTCATGACGACAAAACCGTTCTCCTGGCAGAATTCACACAGCAGGTCGCCTCTTTCATTTCTAACTCCAAGGCCGTACTCTCCAATTATGTCTTCATATCTTCCTTTACCCACCTTGGCGTTAAAGTCGCCCATTATTATGTTTATGTCCTCTTTCTTTGTTAGTCTTATTGCTTTTTCCAGATCTTTATAGAACTTAGTTATTTCTTCTTCTGACTTATCTGCTGTTGGTGCATATGCTTGTGTCACATTTATGTTTACTGGTTTGCCTGTCATTTTGATCAACATGACTCGTTCGGAAATTGGAACAAAATCTGTCACCGATTTACTGGTCTTCCTGTCAAGAGCAATAGCCACCCCATGTCGGTGATGCCTATCTGTTGGGTCACTACACAAGTAATACATAGTAATCTTATCTTTCGTAAACTGTCCAGATCCAGACCATCGGACTTCACTGACTCCCATTATATTTATTTTCAGCCGAAAATAAATACTACCCAAAATTTTATGGGTTTAGTATACATTTAGACTATTTGTAATAATTCTTCTTTTTTCATTAAAAGAAGTCTGTAATAAAAGTTTATTTAAGCTGTTAATAGTGTGAAATAGGAACTTTTGTGTTGTAGGTTTCCAGCTATGATTCTGTCAAATTATGCCCGAGATGAATGAATGGACCTTATATGTTATTATAAGTTAGTTTTTATAATAATTACTTTAATAATAGTTTAATAATATAATAAATTAATCATGAGATCTTTTACCTGCATCACCTCCCCCTCTTTCACCAATATTATATTCTCCTTCCAGATCATCTTCAGCATCTTCATATAAGTTGTCATCGTTATCATCACTCAACTCATCTTCGCCTACTTCATCCATGGGATCCGGATTCAATTCCTAAAAGTTAAAACATAAAAAATAAAATTGAGCCAACATATACAGTCACTACGAAATAGTGCAATAGTACGAGTTATGAAACAGGAAAGTAAAACATATGCGTTATTACTTATTACTACAGTAAATTGTAGTAAATTAGAATAAAATAGAAATTTTTGACGTTGAATACCAATACTGATGTCATGGGCATAACCAGAGGAGTTTTTGAGGTTCAAACCCTCCCCCTCCGAAAAGTTAAGATATTAATATTCATAAAATTAAAATGAGGATAGGCATGTGGCACATCCCATCCATCACCATCATCATCACGGTGCTGCAGTGATTAAAGGGTCTAGACCTTTCTGCGCCATTCTGCTGTGTCTGTTGGTTGAATTTTCCAGGTGCCATCCTGTATTTCCTCGTCTATCCACCTCAGCTTTGGTCTGCCTTATCTTCTTATTCCCAACGGCTGCGCTGTTGAAATCTTGTTTATCATGTTCGATTCCGGGGCTCGAGCTACACGCTCTGCCATATGGTCTCGTTTAATTGTTTTTAAAAAGTTAAAAAGTTTTTTGAGAGTTTTTGTCTTTTTCATTCATTACTAACTATTACATATGTTATGTCATCTTTTGATTCTGCTAAATTGGATGTTCGTTTGTATACCGATTAAGATAAAATCGAGGATGAATATCTAATTATTTTAGATTTAGATAGAGTTACATGGTTGTCATATTCTTAATATAAATATAGAACATACTGTAGAATTTGCATCATAATGGGACTTTCACTTAATGATGGTAAAAGGGGCCTAAAGCGGTTATCCAGCTTATAATCGGCACTTTTGCAAGTAGAAAAATGCACTAGAAATATTTAAAACTCATGAAACCCCTAAAAGGAATATTTTCTAAGACTTTTTCAGTTGCAGTTATCTTTTGAAAGAAAGAGACAGCAACAGGAAAACCGAAAGATATTAATTCCCATCGCAAAAGGAATAATTTTTTGTGGCAAACAAGGATACTTCTTTCAAAATGATTATAATTTTCGAGCACTATTCGGTATGCAACCGATCTGCGGATAAAGATTTTTCTGAGCATTTGGTCACTTCTTAGAAGAATGACCGCCCACAAATCCAAAATAAAATAATTGATACTCGTGGTGAAATTATTTAACATAAGATCATCAGTGAAGTAAAGATGCTAAATTTTTCTCGATTCTCGCTGACGAGACGACTGATATTGCGCGTATGGAGTAATTATCGTTGTGCTTGCGATATGTTGATTTAAAAGATATTGAACAGCATAAAGTTAAGGAAATGTTCTTAGAGTATATTCCAACTGCAGACTTGACAGGATCCAGTCTTGAAAATATCATAGTTACAACTATAAAAAAACACTGACATGAATATTCTCATGTGGTTGGTCAAGGTTACGATGGGGCTGCAGCTGTGGGTGGGTATTTGTACGGTGTACAAGCGTATATTCAAGAATTTCCTCTTGATGTGTGCAGACGTATATGAAATTGCTTTAGGATCGTGCAGTCTGTTGGTTCCTGCTTAGCAGGGTTGTGCTGTTTTAAAACAAGCTTTTTAAAACAACGTTTTAAAACATGTTTAAAAACACTGAAAAAAAAACAGTTGCATTTTAAAACACCGTTTTAAAACATTGTTTTAAAACATAGTTTTTTTCGTTATTGTTTATTATTATTTTGTTTATTAACATTTGTTATAAGACATTTGTGTTTGCTAATTTGCAAAATTGCAAACATAGATTATAGAGTAAGTAGGTGCAATAACAATATTAATGCTAAGTAAAAAGTAAAACTCAAAAAAAGTAACTGACTAAACTTTGTTTATGTTCAGGTAGCAAGCATACTAGTACTGTTGTTATGGCGATAAAGAATAAAAGTCTGTTACGACAGTGCTGTAGTAACATTAACTAAACCAATACTGCTAATAAAGTTAAAAGAAAAAGAAAATTAAGTAAATAATTATTGAATTACAACAGCATCTATTACACAGTCCTACATCCTGCAACTGATATGTGATACAAAAAATAAAAATAACAATGAATGTTCCTTAAAAAAATAAAAACTATAAATATAGAGCTTTTACGGTTAATAATGTAACCTTAAACATTTTTATTTAAATGTTGAAATATTGTTACTAGCTTAGCAGCTTTGTCACTTCCTAACCCATTCCTCAATTTCGAGTGAACTAGACCATATGAAGAAAATAGCCTCTCCACTCCAGCACTGGATGCAACTGCTGAAAATAATTGAGTTGTCAGCTGCAACAACTCCGATGAAATAAACTGTTTTTGAGATAGCCACCATGTTAAAGAACTTAAATTGTCTACTGTATTTTTTGCAAACAAATATTGTTTATTAAATGGCGGTGCTAAGGCACGAAATGACAGTATTTCGGGCATTACATTTGGGTGAAAATCCGAAATAAATAACAATGCTCTATCAACTTCCACCTCAGAGAGTTTCTGACCTAAGTACTGAGGGTCTAATAAATAAGCTAAATAATGCGCATGTGATATAGCCAGTTGAAAACGTGCTTCTGCTTTATGAAGTTCCAACACGTTGCTACAACCGTTAGATTGAGCTTCACTTTCACTTTGGAAATAACCTAGTAAGTCCTTCCAAATGTCTGTTGCATCTGCTATGGTGCAGGTATTTCTCTGGCATTTATCCAAAGCCCATAAATGTGCCAGTTGAGGTTTATGGGAATCCCCTATAGAAATCCAGTGAAGTACGTAATTATTTTAAAACGTTTTTTTTTGTTTTAAAACAGTGTTTTTTTGTTTTAAAACAGTGTTTTTTAGATGAAAAAAAAACTGTTTTAAAACAAAAAACATTGTTTTTAAATAAAAAAAACATGTTTTTTGTTGTTTTTAAAAAAAACATTTTTTTGTCCAACCCTGCTGCTTAGCCATTCAGCTCAACGCACTACCGTTCTGAAAGAAAAATTCGAGATCTATTACCGGCCGATCATCAATGTTAAATAATTGTTGTTGTTAAATGTGACAAGCCAAAGACTAAAACCCTATGCAAAGATAATTAGAAAATGTCAGTGTGGCGACTTTAATGTTAAAATTCATTAACTCTTTGTAGATTTCTGCACTGTATATGACAGTATAATTCGTGACATGCTATGTAGAGCAATAGTAAGCTAAATTAGTAGAACTAGTCAAACACAACAGAAAAACAAGAGCATATAAATTATGACATACGCAGATGATGTAAATATCACAGATCACACAATCTCCTGCATAGAAAGATCTGCCACCAAGATGGGAATAGAAGTAAATTTTGATAAAACCAAATACATGCCAATAAATAGTAGGCGAGAAGCCACCCAAATTACTATAATGGGGAAGAAAGTCAAAGCATCTCAGAATTCACATACCTGGGATCCCTAATAAATACAGATAACACAAAGACAGAAATTCAGCATAGAATTTATCTAGCAAATGAGCGTACAATGAAATTTTGAGATATCTGAGATCAGATATATTTACCAGGGAATCCAAATTTCGGGTCTATAAAACTCTGATCTCTGATCATTTAAAAGAAAAGTCCTTCAGCACATATGGTGGTGTATGCTAAGGCATAGATATAAGGCTTGGCAGAACCCTCTGAAACAGCAAGAATCGTAACCCAACAAATGGTGGAAAAGCAACCCAAGGAGCAGCCAAAAATATAATATATGATACGAGTTCAGAAGAATTTGAAAGAACTCGAAACTGGAGAATGAAAGCTAGAAATAGGAATTAATGGAGAGGATTAACTGAACAGGTCAAGGTGCAATCTGCGTAATGGAGCTAATGATGATGATGAACATGGTTGCCTGGATATGAGGGAGACCAAAGAAAGTAACTTGCTTTTCATTAAGAAAGCAATCTAGAAACATCTTTAAAAACCCAAACCATTCTACGCCTGAACTACAATATTTTTTGGGAATACAGAGCAGCATTATAATTAAAAATATTTTATTTTTACGTTTCCATTTGTAATTCGCAAATTGTTCTCGAAATCTAAATTAAACAAATCACCATACAATTAACAATTACAAATGAAGCAATATAGTTTGTTTACTTAATATTTAATAATCTTTTACAGTTCATATAAATATTCCACAATAAAGCAATTTCAGAACTACGAAACATGCTGATAGATTTCAAATTCAAAGAGCCACTGGTTTGATAACAACAAATGAAGAGAGACAATTCCATATAAAGAATCAGTAAAAACATTTGGCGGACAACTCTGTCTAATCTGATGAATTTTAACAGACCACAACTGAAGATGATCACCATTGTGCAAAAAATGTGATCTATAAAAAGAAACAGCTATTACACGCCATTGTGAACGTGAAATGCTTACTGAAATGAGGCTTGTATACGTAACATTATTTAATATAAAAAGCTCCAAACTACTTGGTGGCATTTATTTACATGACAGATTTGGTATAATAGTCCTGAGCCAAGTAGTGCCTCAGCTGATGTAAGAAGTCGAGATAAAATAAAAATGTTTCTGCATATTGATAGACCATAACAAACATAATATGTGATCAAACTGAGATTGAAAATCTATTATTATTTTTACTTATTGATATGCTATATTATTGATAGTTTATTCTTCTGGTGTATACAAAACTAGTCAAATCATTCATTTCAATATATATGTTAAAATTCTTACTTGACAAACTTTAATTGCTTCATAAATTTGTGGAATTGATTCTGTATTTCTTGGTACAAACAATATTTCAGAAATATCTTCAGTGGACTCTGCATCACTATCATCATCTTCATTAATTACAGGTGGGCTGTCACCTAAAACATTTGCATAAAATATTAATGATGGCAGAAATAATAAATTATGGTAAAATTATCAATAGAAATGGACCACAGAAGTCATGTCATAACATAATGGGGTAACAAAGTTTTAAATTATTACAAATAGCTTCAGTTTAAAAGTCTTGATACAATGATAAAAATTCAGTATTGGATTTCCCCTTTATGAATACTCTTTTACCAGAAACTGGCAGCTTTCATATCTAGATATTTGAAGAATTTGAACAACTGCAATCCACAATCTTCTTTTCTTTGGTACTCTTGAAGAAGCCATGTTACTTAAAAATAACATGGTCCATAACCTAATACGAGATTCTACTCAATAATGATCAAATCCTCTAGTTCTTTATCTCTACTGTCTCTACTGGAAATCCTAGAGAAATTTGAGAAAGACCACTTCAGAAACCATAGTTAAAATAAAGATGTTACTCAAGACAATATATAACAACTATTTGCTTTTAAATTGGGCAAATGCTCATTGATAAATACAAAAATACACTTTTACTCATCATCTATACTAAATACTGTCCTGAAAACTTGGTAAAAATTACTGTGTAAATATGGATCTGTACCATTGTGTTTCCAGGAATACAAGTTTTTTATTGGATCTCAAATCATCTTTGAGATAATAATAAACACTTACCTGGCATAGTAATATGTCCATCTGTCACAAGGTATACACATTCTGTAGAATGGATATTTAAATCTTTAGATATAGCATGTAAGGAAATACTTGAATATTCAATAGCAAACCCATTGTTCTCTTCTTGTTGCCAGCATAAAGTACTACAAAAACAATAGGTACAGTTTTAGTTCTAAACAATATGAAGCAGAGCTATTAGGAAATCCAGTCATCCAGTATCCAATCATTAACACCATTACAAAGGACTGTGTATAAGCATAAATAGTGTACATAGTTATTACAAATAGTGAATACTTTCCTTACATTGAAATTAGAAACTTAAGAGATTTACATACAACATATCATAGGATGTACATACAACAAACAACAAAATGTATGTACATACAACATATCATAGGTATCTCGTATATCATATCTCTACTAATATTTCAAAATCCATAAATGATTATCTTAAAAGCTGTTATTCCATGGTTTAAGATTAGTTACCTTTCACTAACAAATAAAGTTCCCAGGCCCAAATCTTTCTTGTCCAAGTAGACTTGAACATCTTCCTGTTGATACCTAATAGGAGACTCGGGGTGTTTAAAGGAATTAATAATCACCATATTAAGGTATTGAGCTAGTGATGAATAAATTCAAATTCTCAATTAAATGTAACTCGAGGATAATAACTTTTCTGACAGCCAGTATAAACTTTTTTACCGAAACGAAAAAGAGTTGACAAGCTAATCGAGCTAGCTAACCTAAACTTCACTTTCTTCTTTTTTTTTTTTGTTGGTTGCCAATGGCCTCGTCACGGAATAGACAAATAGTATGACCCAGAGATATGTAAGAGAGTGACCTCTCTTACATATCTCTGGTATGACCTCGTGTCGTTCAACTGAGTTCAACATTCAACCAATTTCCAGAAAGTTTAAATACGCGTTTTAAAGTTTTCTGCGAATTTTTGTAATTTAAGTACAGTATATTTCACGAATTTGCGTTTATTTTGGATTAGAAATCAAAGCTTGGATAATTGTCATTCCAGGTTGGTTTTTTTCAAAATTTGATGGTGGAAAAATACAAGTAAGGGCCTTACTAACATTTTCTTTGTGATCCTATTCTTTTACATATTTCTTAATCTTCTATATAGTCAAACCACATCTAAACGTTTTGGTAGATTTAGACTTTGTTAACGTTCGCCATTATGGAGGAAGAAATTCCTCCCGACCGGCCACCAGATCCCGACCCTAATATAAGTCAAAATCTGTCTCAAAACAATGCAATAGAGAAAGTAAACATTAAAGAAAAAAGTTTATATTATGAGTCAGATTTGGGGCCCTTTGAGGTCTTTGTTCAGGGTAAAAATAGTAATGTAATTATAATATCCTAAGTATTGCTAAGACTATCTTTAATTTAAAACTGAAAGAGATTGCTAAGTTTGATAGAAAGGGAAAAAATAGATGTGTTACATGTGGTGCAAGAATTTTTTAAACTTTTTATTGCTTGTGTGATATTTTAGTTTAAATAAAATATTATATAAAGTTGGTACTTTACGATTTTATTTACTCCATCTTTATTCTTTTGTGTAAATTAATTTTTATAAATATATTTCTATAAACTGAAAATTAAAGTTATTCACCGTTTGTTGTTTCTCACTTATTCGAAATATTTCATATGTTTACGATACTAAAAATAAAAGCAAGCAAAAGCAAAAGTCAAACCAATAGTCATTATTTATTCAAGTGAAAAAACTGTTTCAAATAACTTTCAAATATTGGAAGGTACGCCGCTGGCTTAAAAGGTAATGTCACAGTCTATCACCTCGTCTCTTTCCCCGCGCCTATAAACTTTTCGACTTCAAATTTAGGTGAACAGAGTGCAGGGCATGCCTAGTCCATCTTATTTATACGTCCATGTATACAACAAAATGGCACAAACATCCAAATCCAAACACGTAGAAAATACAACCCAACCAACCTATAAACACAACTGCCCAACTTAAAACTCAATATTCTTCTTTCTTTTTTACTTAGCCTTCTACCACATATACTAGCGATCCAGTTGAAATAAGTGCCAGGCGCCACCTCGTTATTTGGAATCTTACTGTATATATGGAACAATTTTTTTACATTGAGTTCGCAGGGTATGATTTTGCAGGTAAACGTAGGCAGGGCGCGCCGAGCGTATGACCTCATCTACGCAAAAGCCTGCAAGCTAAATATAAATCTGCTCATCGTACCGTAACCTAACAAAAAGATAACGACAGGCGGTGGGTGGATACAAGACGAGGGGGGAAATGTAGCGGTGCTCATTAAAAATAGGGATGTCGGAGTGCAGAGCATTTTCAGGGGAGGAAATCATTTACTCATTAGGTTGAGGGATTTCAGCCTCCTGGCATGCTATGTATCTCCAAACATCCCTATGATGAGATATGAAACAATCGTTAATGAAATAATGGGTGCCGCTATAAACAGAAACAAAATACTGATCGCCGGGGACATAAATGCGACGTCCAGACAATGGGGTTCCCCCATAAACGACAAAAAAGGGGAACTCTGTAATGAATGGATAGCCCCTGCTGGCCTTCAAGTGCTAAACAACAATAAGCTAACCTTCGGACGGGGGGCCAGCCAATCACACATTGACATCACATTCGCGAGCGAAGGGCTATCCAGGAAAGTGTACGGGTGGGACGTACTCAACGATCAGCTCTTCACCTACCACCGATATTATACAATTTGAGATAAAGGTTAAAGGGGGGATGAAGCGATCAATACGTACGGAAAAATCATATTTCAACAAAACAAGTACCTATCGGAGGTCAGAAAAATAAGTGAAGATGAGATTTCTGACCTCGGCCAACTTCGAACAGCTCTATAAAATGTGGCAAAATTGGCTACCGAGACGAAGAAAATGCGTTAATCTCTTGCGACTGCTGCTTGCGTCGAACGCATGCAACAATCGCACAAGAGAGACTGCATCTTAACAGGTACGTAACTAAATTGTAAATATAATGTTTTGTGTAGATGAGGTTAATTAAGTAAGTCTATTTAAATTAACATCAGTAAAACCTGTAAAGTCGTATTTAAAATATGATTGTAGCTTACGCCTTTATAGATTATTAATAAAAAAATATTTGGTTAGTGTAAGCTCCATTTTGCTATAGTGAATACAAGCAATATTTTAGAGTGCTTAATAAAATTTAAGAATTAACCAATTCGACAAAAATAGGAAAAAGCTACTAGATGCTAATATTCTATAAAGAATATTTGCATTTTAGTTAAATCATTTTTGCTTCAGTATAATTCTTTAAAATTTGTGTTCAACTCCGTCGTTTACCACCTTTTGTTCTTTTCAGATGTCTCTAGGGTAAAAAATGATAGACTTGGCTCTACAAATTTTAAATAGCGAGAAGAATAACGGTAGAGTTGTAATGAACTTCTTGTGGAAGCGGTAAAATTTGATGTGCTTGTTGAGACACAATGCATAAAAGAAGTAATGCAAGAGCTACCAGATTTTAATGCTTTAGCAGAACAAAATAACCAAGAAGCTGATGTTACCCAAAAGATTGATTTATCGTCAACGTTTTATAGAAAGCTGATTGATTTTTCAAAAAGCGAAGTGAGTTAATGAACCTGTGTTTTTTGATAATGTCGAATTTATTATGGAGAGAAATGTAACGTCTTCTGAAGATCTTATGAATTCTAAATCTGGATCAACCGATTTCGGCTTCAATTCGAGTAGAACTGAAAGCAATAATTATTCAACTTCTGTTGCGTATATACGTCAGCATTTGGATAATTGGATAGAGGACAGAAACGTAAAAACAGCTAGAGCGTTAGAAAAAAGAAACAGCTATTTTCATTAAAAATGTAAAGTTGGTACAAGCAAAAACATCCTTACCAATCCATGTGTTGAAGAGGTATGCCAATAAATATTGTAACCTGAGCAAACTATTTACTTAGGTATACAAACAATCTAAGGCCTTCTGCTCGTGTATATCTTATACTACTAATACCTACTAATAAAACACTCGTATTTTAAGGTTATTTCGTATTTATACCTAGAATAGTTATTCTAAGTACATATAAGGTAAATATAATACTAAAATAATTTGTTACAAATAAACTCGGTATAAGTTAGTTATAAGTATTCCCACTTTATTCCGAAATAATAGTTTGGCAATGTCGCAATCTTTTGCACAAATACATAGAACAACGACATATTGGGTGAAATATCATCATCATCATTGTCTCCACAACCCATGGTGGGTCTTGGCCTGCTCAAGGATAAGTCTCCATTCTCTCCTATTCTTTGCCTTGACTTTCCAGTTTCGTACTCCCAACATTCTCAGGTCTTCCTCCACCTGATCCTTAAATCGTGCTGTGGGTCTGCCTCTCCTTCTCACTCCATCTATTCTTTGATTATAAATATGTTTTGGCGGCTCCATCTCATTCATTCTCTCTATGTGACCTAACCACCGCAGCCGGTTTATTTTGATGGACCTAATAATATCAGGTTTGTCATACAGGCGGTAAAAATCGAAATTATAGCGTCTGCGCCATAATCCGCTCTCCTGTACTTCTCCATAGATATGCCGGAGGATTTTACGCTCAAAGAATCTTAAACGTTCTTCATCGTTCCTTATTATCATTCTTACTTATTCTGATTAGTTTGTGAGCCTAGGTATATAAACTCTCTTACTCCTTCGAAAGTATATGTTCCGATCGTTAGATCTTCGGGTTGTGCTGCTTGTATATAATTTGATACTTTCATATACTTCGTCTTACTAGTGTTAACCTCTAGTCCCATTCTTATTGTTGCTGCTTCAAGCGCATTGAATGATTCGACCACGTCCGCCTTTCTTCTTGCAATAATGTCGATGTCATCGGCGTACGCTAGTAATTGTACGCTGCGATTAATAATAGTTCCTCTGGTTGTTATTCGAATTGAACAGATATCTTCGTACAAATACCTTGGAGCATGGATCACAGAAGATACTGATCAGACAAAAGAAATAAGATGCCGCATTGAAATTGCGCGGTCAACTTTTAATAGAATGAGAAAACTTTTTTGTAATCGCGATATCAATATATCGCACCGGATAAGAATGCTTCGATGTTATATTTTCTCTACCCTTTTGTATGGAGTTGAAGCTTGGACACTTAAAAAATCCAACATTAAAAACCTAGAAGCATTCGAAATGTGGTGTTACCGACGCATTTTGAAAATATCATGGATGGATCGCAAAACAAACGAACAAGTTCTCGAACAACTAGGAAAACAATGCGAAGTTTTAAATTCCATAAAGATCAGAAAATTGGAATACTTGGGGCACATCATGAGAGGTGAAAAGTACGAACTACTAAGGAATATAATGCAGGGTAAAATCAAAGGTAGAAGAAGCGTAGGAAGACGTAAAATCTCGTGGCTATGCAATCTCCGTGAGTGGTTTGGATGCAGTTCAATTGAACTATTCAGGCGAGTAACCAATAAAATTATAATTGCCAGAATGATTTCCAATCTCCGATAGGAGTGGAACTTGAAGAAGAAGGTTGTTATTCCAGATTTTCTTATCGCTTTCTCTAGTGCAATATTAAAGAGAAGGCATGATAGGCTGTCTCCTTGTCTAAGTCCTATCTGTGACTGAAACTTTCTGGAAACTCCGTTCTGCACTTTAACTTTACACTCGACTCAGAGGGTCGTTTTCACCAATTTGATTAAGTGTACTGGTATGGTGAATTCTACCATGGCCTTGTACA